TTTTGTTCGACAGAAAATGAAAGGCTAGGGTCATAGACATGTGGTGTGTTTGGAACCATATCCTTTACCGGCTGTGGCGGTGTCCATCTGTATACATCTTCCAAAATAGATGTTTCGCTGCCCTGGTGGAACATGACAGAGCGACCCAATGATTCCAACACAGGTCTTACTGCTTTCAAAGAAGTAGCTCCAGCAGTCATCAGAGTACAGCTCTTTCGAGAATTCACCCGTGAGGAAAGAAGTTCCAATGACATCCTTGTATTGGAAGCTAACGACATACTGGATTTGATCATGCTGTTCAAGCTCTCAAGTGACCCCGAGTCGAGACGCAAATTCAATGCTATTGCGGCCAGCATAGCATGAAGCCGACTACCCAATGGAAATCGACCAGTGTTGGAAACGTAGCGGATATCCAACAAACATTGTTTCCTAATTGTTTTGGTGGCAGATTCCAGTGAACCTTCATCTGCGTTCAAAAGCTGTGTTGCTATTGCAGCCCTGTCCCCTCGAGCTTGTCCAAGAGGTACCCGCATCAGTCGGAAAAGATTCCAAGGCCACCTGCAGAGAAAGTGGGTGTCACAATCAAACACGATATACGCTAACATAATTTAGCTATATGAAACAACATACATCATGAAATCATGAAACATGAAAACATTAGTTTAACAGGTAACGGCCAATTGTACGGAGACAAAATACATAACGTAAACCATTATAAGACCGTTATAAAACCATATCATTATCATAACCCGTAGTGCAACAACAAACCTTTTTCATTGTGTTCAATGCCTTGAGAACTGTCGGATGATACGTCGATCAAAACAAGCCGCATTGTGCAAAAGGACTGCCAAACAAGCCATGGTTACCACAGTGAAATCTTCGACATCCAGTTGATGACAAGTTGTAATGCCGTTGACAGTTGTAACAATCTTTTGAGACCAGTCTCTGAAAGATTCCAACAATTCGTTGAACTCACCCTGAATCGTTTGAAGATGCGACGTCACCAAATCAACCACATGCATTGACGTGCTGGTCAGTTTTTGACAAAGAAATCTGTAGTGATGCAACAGGGGTTCTCTGCAAAGGTTTCCTACCAGCATCATGGTAAAAAACATACTTTCTTTCACACAAGCCAATGAGTTCCGAATGTACTTTGTGATCTTGTTCTTGTAAGCTTTGCTCTCATCAAGAGCCAGCTCGTCCAAAGCATCCATGTCCGAAACTTTCCGATGTTCACGATCGTCAATGGCAGGCTCATCGGGGTTGACACCGTCTTCCACTGCAGGAGGACCGCTGTTTGGCAGCCCTTCAAACGTTGCCACAAACAACTGGGATACATGGTCTAGACCGGCTTCCATGTAGAACTGCTCTGCTCCTCAAACTTTTTTGTTGTTATTGCAAACGACGGTTTCGGGTATCATATACTCCCCATATGATTCATGATCAGTGTTCAGTGTTCCTGAGTGTTCCTGTATCAAGTATCAAGGACAACTTGAAACACACAAAGAAACCAACTTGGTCTATTTGAACAACTACAACTTACTATCATCAAATAATCAAACCCAAGATTCCGTCTATTGATGCCCAACGTCCTGCAATTGCTAGCGGTGGTGTTCTGAAAGCGATGTTTTTGTTTTGCTCAGTTCGGGTGCCACCATGCAAACGAGTCCAAGTTCCTCTCATCTTTGATAGATGGGCACGCCAAGTGTGGCTCATTGTTGCTAGGGAACTGAAATATTTCAACTGCTTGCCTACCATTCGCAGGATCTGGTCAGTGAGTCTTAGCTGGCTGCCGGTGATCAGATGATACTGGTGCTTCAAGCATCCCAAAGAAAGAAACATCATGCCACCCTCAAAGTTGGAACGTTTTGCAAACATGGTTTTCAAAGACCCCCGCATCGCTGTTTGATCAGATCCAGAGTCTCCAGTGTTCAGAAAGATGTGGGTGTAGTGTTCGCTAAGCTCCCCACACCTCAGTTACATCATCAATCATCATCACTCCGCTCAATCTAGAAGTTCAACATCGTACATGCTGATTCTACGTTCAGTGAAATCAACTGACACTATTGAGTTTAAATGTAGGCTCGATGCAGCAGTGCGGTATGGGCAGATATGTGATCAGCTGTCCACCAATCTTCAACATGTGGGTCTGGCGGGTTGTCACAAAGGAATCATACATCCTTGAATTCTTGAAATGCTTGAGTTGTGACTGTAGAATCTGTAGAATGTAGAATCATGGAACCTTTGGACCTTTGGAATTATTCAAATTTCAATTCATGATTCATCAGTTGGTTCTTCGGTTTACAAGTAGCATCATCATTCTATCATGTTTATATTGGATGAATGATGATATCATAAAACATGATGATATCAATCAATGTTCATGTGAATTTTTGAATCAGTCATTGACATTGTATCCTTGTGGGTTGGCGACCTTGCCCAGACCCTGTAGCTTAGTGTTAGGCTAAGCAGCTGCCTGGCGTTTTCAATTTCATCCCAGGATTGTACTCCAGCAAGAGCAAATTGTTTCACAGTGATTGCCATGTTCACGGCTGATGATGCGTCAGTCACCTGCAGATCCGACCTAAGATGGCCCAACAAAACAGGATGCAAACCCAGTGTGTGGGCTTCATGGTTAATGGTTGCAAAAAACACCCAAGTATACATTAGTTGTCCTGAAGCATTTATGAACTGCAAACAAAAAAATACCGCCATAGTGTAAGCGAGCGACATACATGCCATGGATTTGAAAGCAAGATCATATTGTTCTTCAACCAGGGCTCTTTTATTTGTAAGCACAATTGTTTGTATTTCGATTCCTTGTACTTTCTGCCTCTGCCAAATAGATGAATTAGTGGCATCGCCCGCCCAAGAAGTAGAAGCAACAACTCCGTCCCAATTGAGTTCTGTTTGGGAAAGAGAAACTGTCAATTGTGAAACCCAAGATGATGCAGACGGCAAACCAAAATCTGCCCTGATAGCATCGTCTTGTGTGGGAAGATCCGCAACACCAACTGTACTTGACCTTCTTCGTTTGTTTGATAAATCCGTGACTTCGGAAGCTGACACAAGTGCAAATGATGATGGTGCGCCGGCGTTGTTGACCATATGTTGACATACCTCTTTCAGTAATGTCATTAGTGTCTTGTACCACGCACGGGTCCTGCCCAAGAGGACAGCCCATGCCATTATTTCGCAGCGTGTAACAGTCCATCTTGACACATCAACCAATGATGCCAATGGAAATGCATTTGCTGAAATAATGCACATCAGCTTCCGCAACCCTAAGATAACACTGGTTCTCCAAGTCAATCTTCGTCCGGTTCGAACAATTTCCAAAGACTGAGCGGAACCATGTACCATGTCTTGAATTTCGTTTTTTTTGCTGACCACCTGTCTCTCCAACCGACGTATTTGTTGTGCCTTTCGTTTCAATTTTTTACGAGCTTCGGTCATAGATTCTTCTTGGTTCTGGATTACCACCATTTGTTGAAAACAATGTGTGGCCAAACCTTGTAAATCCAACTTCGCTACAAACTCCTTTTGATTTTCAACAGAAGCAACCGCAAGCCTCTTGATGTCCCCAAACATTTTTTTGCTAAACACAGGTCGATCGAACTGTTGTATCCATGGATGTATCAATTGTCCCACTGCTCCCTGATTCCCATCAGTAGGACTAGGATCGGGAACATTCACCTGTGCCGGTTGTGCCGCCGCTGGGGCTGACCATTCGATTGGAATTTGCAAAGTCGAACTAATAGGCGCCAGTGGTTGTGATGATGAAAAAATATTTTGATCACCAAACCCATCAAGTTCATCATCATCTCCACCTACACCAAACAGAGTGGACACGGAGTCATTTGTATCACTGTAGGCTGATTGGGAAGAGGCTAGTCTTTGCAAACCTGGGGGAGTAGCAGCACAACTACTTGATGAAGATGAAGCTGAAGTTTCTCCACGAACGCCACCGGCCACACGTTTGTTGGTCTCATTGCGAACCAATGAATCCCATTGTTGAACCACAGGCCCCGTAACAACACATCCTGATAATGCCAGCATGGAGGGTGCAATCTCGATGCTGTACAAAGTTGTGTTGTTTCTGGACACAGTTTCCTCCACTGCACCCAAACATAATACAACAATAGTACAGTATATTAACAAATATTACCATAATTGTCCCTTGCAGCGTGCATGCAATATTATATGTGATATGTTTTGCAACCAAAGTGACCAACATGAACACAGCTGCACTTATTCCCAACAGTATGTCCTCTTTGCGCACATTTGTAGGCAATAACTTGTTCAAACGTTTCCTGGTTGCGTCGTCAGGCGCCAAAGATAGAATCCTAAGAGCTCAGAAATACATCTGGCAGATACTGACAGGCCGACTCAACAACACAATGCCAAAAAAAACTCTAACAAACAAGTTTGGTCCAACTGCAACATAGGCACTGTTCCCGTGAACACGCCAACAATCTCTCGCCATCACGCTCAACCAGCTGTGAAGTTTGCAGCAAGCGACGAAGCCGCACAGATACATCACGCCCCGTCAATGGAAGCATGTCTTGGATACAAGTCCAAGATGATATTTAAGATATTTTAGACTGTCGTTTTATAAGTTTAACATATTCAATGCATGTTCTTTTAGCATCTCTGGACTCATGTTTTCAGACTTCGGGAAACATGCATATTGTTTTTGTGAGCTGGCAGTAATAGGTTTACAGTGCCCAATAGTAATGAAATCACCTTTTTTTCCTTTATGCATAACTTTTTTTCATAATATATCCCAAAAAAAATCCATGCATCAAACATGTTGGAGCAAAAAATGCTACTCCAAGCAACCCGAATCCACTGTAACATCAACACCGTGTTGTGTTGCACAAAGCACTTGGGCTTTGATACATAAAGGTTTTTCAGGGCAAACTATCTTGGCATGCCCTCGGAAAAAGCTATGCAACCATGTGTCGGGTGATGCATTCCAACTTTCTGGGCTCTTCAATCTAGGTTTGCCCCCCTAGGGGAGAGCCAGAAAGTGGACCCTTGGTCTCACATACATAGAAGTAGCTGGCTTCACACACAGAGTATCTCCAGCACAACCCTACCAAAGGAAACAAAAAACAGCTGATGTAATACCAAAATATAATCAACGTTTGAGCCTCAAGCCAAATATTCTCTCAAAGTTTTGTTTTTGTTGTTTCGTAGTACTGCAGGTTGTCGAAACAATCACAAAACACACAAAAAAAACATCCCAGAACATCCCAGAACACCAAACAAAACCAGACAAATCAAGGAATACCAAACAGCAAATACATTGGTTTGATATCCTAACCAGACATTATTCTCGTTTATTGCTGGGTACTTTCTTTGAAGAAGTGGCTGCATTGATGGATTTGGTGAATGTCAAAGGGATAATTGTGCAACGTTGCCGAATGGATTCCCTTCAGATTGCAATCGGTTTAAAGAACAAGTTGCATTTCCCACAAAAGAGTAGGTCGTGTGGGGGGTAGCATATTATTTTATATATGAATATAATATATATATATACACACACAATTATATACCCATTCAATTATTGCACACATTGAAGTACTAAGCTATACATCGACCAGATCCACGTGCTCCTTTCGCCTTGTTGGTGATCAAGGCCCATGCTTGCGAACAGTACATCTTAAAGGACTTCCGCTCCCCCTGGGGCGAGGCTGCGTGCACCCCTTGGCGGTTTGTGAATTTCTGACTGCTGAAGATTCGAGCCGTTTGTTGGATACTTCTGTGGTAAGACATGGTAAGACCATGGAAATATCATGCCAATGAAATCAAGAAAAATGATAGGTCTGGAGCGTCTGGATGAATTACAGTACAGCAATTCACTCTCCTGAACAGTTCTGACCATTTTGGGATAACCCCAGTCCGAAGCATCATTTCAGTGACGCAGTGAGGTCATGATTGTTGATCCATAGATTTTTCATGAAGAACGATCCGTCATATTCCAGAATCCACTTAGTGAATAATCTAGTGAATAATCTAGTGAATAATCCACAACTATAGTGGATAATCTATACTGATAGTAGCCCACACAGTGTACATCCCTACAATACATCCAGATCATCATCTCATCTTGATCTCCAGTCTCGCACTGGGCCCGAGCCGGCTGAATGGGCGAGTCTTGCACTAAGAACCACCTCGGACGGCAGGACAGTTTCAACCAATCTGACCGATTTAAGGTGGTGCTCCATAGTTGGCCTCGGGTAATTTATAGCTATGGAAAATCGTCCTTTTTCATAGGTAAATCAACCATAAATGGGCCGTGTTCAATAGTTATGTTGAATTACCAGAGGGTATATGATAAAGTTGGTTTATAGCCCCTTATGACTATAACTATAGTTATATATAGTTATAGTTATAATCACCATAAAGCCTAGTTAACCTAGCTATAAACCAACTTAGCCAACTATGGCACATCACCATCAATTTCGGTTTTCAAAGTGGTATTATCATTTGAATGTATACTACTGGTATGTTTGCCCAAGAGATATCAAACAATATATAATCCGTTTCCATGCAAATCAATACACCGTTATACCACGAACATGAATGGTATGGGATAAATGTGCGTCCCAGGTAGCGAGTAATCATCATATTATACCCCAGTAATATATGGAATATCTGCATCTCTCTCTCTATATATATATATATTTATGAGCCAATACAAGTAATCAAACGTGACTAGCTGGGAAATACCTTATGGATCCTTATGGAGTTTTTAATCGGAAAATCAACTCTAGACAGGGTTGCTCCAAACACCCACGTAAAAGGGGTGTCAATTGGCTAAATATAGATGTAAAATGACCCATTTGCCCCCCTTGTGGCTATCATTTCTCTATAATGGGTTGGAGAAACTCGGTCAATGGGAGATTTTCCAGCAAACCATGGTTCATTACCGGATAACAATTAATTACAGATTATTAACCATTACTACAAACCATAATTATCTATAATAGTTGGGATCTCATTATTAAATCCCATTATCCCAGCTGTATTCCCAACGAAACACCTATGAAATTTGTCGGTTCCACCGACCTCCATTTTTTCCCATGATTCTCCCATTCTTATT